GACCATGCTTGCCTAGTGTGTTTTGGTCGAATGGGATTTATATCTAAAAATCACAATGTAATAAATTATTCATTGAGTTTCATTGGAAGCGGACACAAAAAAATCACCAAAATGACAAGTTCTTGAATAACTTTAATAAACAAAGTATGAAGTGTAAGCTCAAAGATTTTTGGCAGTGTGGAATGCTTGTGATCTAGGTATACTTTTTGACAGTGTGTTGTGTCCTATGTTTTGGCCAGTGTGCTATGTTGCACAATTTTACATAATGTTGCAGTGTATGCTGCTTACAAAGTCTTAAAATTTACAACATAATACCTTCATTATCCGTTTCTTTTCACTACCACATAAATAAAATTCAACATATGTCTAATACTAACATCTTCTAACATTATTCAAAATCAAGAAAGATCAAAAAAAGCCAAGCCCATGTTTGGCCAGTGTGTTTTGGTATAATAGATTATTCATGAAATTAGTCATACATTTTTGGGCAGTGTGAAATTAATACGTGAAATCACTGCCACATAAATCAATGGACATTACACTACAACATGAAATTAAGGAACACAATAATACATTTACACATCGCCGTAAGATATAACAACATATATTCATTCTACACTGCCACATAAAAAACTCACATATAAAAAACTACACTGCCCACTACACAATTACGAGTGAACAACCACACTGCCCAAAATAATCATATTTTTTGGCAGTGAATAATGAACATATACTGTTTAATTAAAGGACAAAATTGGAATTACATGTATGAAACATATAGCACTGCTATTTAGAGTATTTTAATGCTCTTAGAGTGCTATTTTGGTTTTTCTCCCTAAGTAAAATTTAGGGAGAACTCCCTAGATAGGCGTATAAAATTATGAAAATACCAAAATAGGAATTATATGTCTTTTAAGATCAAAATAGGAGGAATGTTACACTGCTACATTCATCACATTGTTACATTATAACTGCCACACTCCCATCTGCCGTCGACAGCCCAGAGTGCCACCTCAGATGGCTGACGGTTGACTGATTACACCGACATATTACATTGTCATCGCTTTTCTATCACACATGTAATAAGTACTCTTAGATCACGAGTGATGCTTACATGGTCCCAAGATTTATATTTAAAATTTGGATCTTCTCACATTTTTCATGGACTTGCATGTGTTTTTTTATGCAAAAGACACTTTTTTATGCTACAAATGCACTAAAATCTATAAAATCAACATGAACTCAGGTATTAGACAAAACATGCAACTCTAGAGAGAGAGAGAGAGGTGAATAGAGTCATTTTCTAGAATGAGCATTTTTCGCGTGTGTGATAAACGTAAGAAAAAGTTGCAAAAAGAGTAAAGGAAAAGAAGAACACCGCGATATATAATGGTTTCCCACCTTGTGGCTAATCCAGTCCTCCGAGAGACTTTCTCAAAGATCCTACTATACTTCAAGCTTCAGCGGGTGCTTGAAAAATCGATTACAACTCGAGAACTTGAATCCCACAAGTCTCAACTTCTTGCAATCAAGATTTGAATCACACAAATCTTGGAATCCACAAACTCAAAGAAGATTGAGTTTAACAACACAAGAATGAAAACTCACACAATTGAGAAAGTAGTGTTTAAATGTAAAGCTCTAATGGATGACAATATCTTTGCACTGAATAAAAATAAGTTTCTAACTCTCAAAATAGTATTTTGATGATCAAGAATGGAGCAAGAATATAACGTATGAGAGAAAGTAAAAGGAGTGTTTGAATTGTGTATGAAATAAAGGAGGAAGAGGGGTTTTATAAAGATAAGAAAAATAAATCCATTGGGAAGAAGAGAGTAGATTGTGAGATGCACCAGACACAAAAAAAATCGATTAATCTAATCGGGAAAAAAAGTTTAAAATTTTTTGTCCTCAATTCCTTCAGCGGACCAAAGAGCTAATTGATTAATCCATTAGGTAATAATCGATTTCTTCCCTGTGCCGGGAATAACTCTCCAGTGGATTAGTTTATTAATCGGTTATTCAAAAAAGAGATAATCGATTATTAAGCCAATTATGCGCAAACACAAAAGCCATAAGCCAGGTGCGAAGTGAGGAAACATTTGACGTAAATGCCTTGTTTCCAACTCATGGAATAAGGCAAGAGACTCCTCCAATTATTCAACTTAATTTAAAATTTATTATTGAATAAATTTTGAGTGAGGAAAAATGAGTCCTAAAAAATATTTTGTGTCAAACGATGTACACGAAAAATATTTCAAAATATATTTTTCTCATCCAAAAAAATAGTACATCTTAAAAAAATATCATAAGAAATTTTGACACACTTTTATAACTGACTCAAAAAGAATATTTTTAGATAGAGAAAATTATTTTTCAACTGAATCTAAAAATAATAATTTTTAAAGTATAACCCTCAAAAATAATTTGTCGTTGCGTTTATCAAAAATAAAATTTTCGTTTGTCATTGCGTTTATCATTTATCAAAACTTAAAAAATAATATTAAAAGAATATCCAAAAGGATTTTGAACTCATGTCCAACATTAGATTCACGGAAGAACTGTCTTATATCACAATATCATTATACTCATATTTTGGTCCTAAAATACTTAGGACTCTTATTTTAGAGTAAATTCCATAAAAGGTCCCCAGTTATAGGTCGTTTTACATATTTAGTCCCTAAATATGAAATATCAATAATTTAGTCCTCAATTATTTTATACTTTTCCATAAATAGTCCTTTATTAACATTTATGTGGATAAAATTGTATATTCACACACACTCTCTCTCCAATTAAGCTTCCTCTTTTCTCTCGTACTCAATCCCAAACCCGTATATGAGTTTGAAGCTCTAAACCCAAAATCAAAACGATCACTCATCTCTCAATTGTTCATCTTTTTGGTGGAACCTAAAATCAAAACCAATAACCTTTATGTGTTAGTCTTAGGAAATTGCAAAGAAAACAAATCTTAAAACTCATTAATGAGGGTTACTAGTTTCGATTTTGGATTCTACTAGAAAGACGAACAATTGAGAAAGGAGGGAGGATTTCATTTTTGAGTTCAAAGCTTCAAACTCAGCAACAAGTTTGGGAAATGAGTGCGAGAGAAGAGAAGAAACTTAATTGAAGAGAGAGAGAGGAGCATGAATTTACAATTTTATCCACGTTTTTTAACAAAAATGTTAACAAAGGACCATTTGTGGAAAACAATATAATAATTGAGGACTAAATTATTGATATTTGATATGTAGGAAATAAATATGTAAAATGAACTATAATTGGAGACCTTTTATGAAATTTACCCCTTTTTTTTAATATTTTCATACTTTTTTTACATCCATTCAGGAGATTTCATTAAAATTTAATTAAAAAAAATGGAAGTGTAAAAAAATGGATAAAGTACTCAGTATGTTTTTGTCTCTTTATTTTTTTTATATTCAAGTACATTAATTGTACTTTGGTAGCATTGTTGTGTAGATACTTTTTTACAATCATCAAGAGGGATTTCATTAAAATATAACCAAAAAAAAGAGGAAGGGTAAAAAAAAGAGGAAGGGTAAAAAATAAAAATTATTTTTACGATCTTTGACTGAAATTATTTTTAAACCATTTTATATGACAAATGGTATAGAATTAAAAAATAAAAATTACATATTAAAAAAACTACATCAAAAGATCTACAAAACTAGTAGTGACAATAATATTTTATTTTATCAAATTGCTAACGAAAATAGAGAAAGAAAGTAAATGAAGTTTGACCATGTGAATAGTAAACATGCATTATAATTTGGGACGGAGGGAGTACAATATAATATGTGTTCATATAATATGTTATTTTTAACACTATGTGGTATCGTAGGTGATGGGGGTGACCAACTGATGTGTTCGGTGCGACTTGGCGCGACACTGCTCCGGAGGGGCATGACCTCTCAAGGGGGGTTGGTCATCACCCGATGAGGGAGCGTTTTCCCAATATATTATACATTTTTTCATTAGTCCACATCGTTTACTTTTAGAGCATGGGCAATGACAAGTAGAAAATGGAATGCCACACGGTGACGTGGAAAATTTTAACCAATCAAAACCAGTCCAGTCAGCGTGTGACAAGTGAATAGAGTGACATGCCTTACAATGGCAAGTAATTGTTTCTGTCAGTTTTTACACTTTTTAAACATATTTTAATTATTAAAAATTATTTTACTTATATTTTTTTACAAAAATAAATGTACTCTTATTTTTACAAAAAAATCTTCTTTTTTGTATAAAAAAATTAAAAAAAGAAATCTGACTCGTTGAAGCCTCATGTACCGTGGAAGAAGTGTAATCCCACACGAGGCAAACGAATGGATTGTCCTACGTGTCATGGCATGGCAAGTGGATGGAATGCCGCTGCACATGCTCTTATACTCCATCATTCTCCATCACACCTACTCTTTTCCAAAAATTACTCTGGGGTACCCTCAATTTTCTAGTAATGACTCTCAGGTCTCATATTATCTGAAATATACTTCGGGGTACCATCAATTTTTTGGTAAAACTCTCAGTTCCCACATTATGCGAAATATACTTTGAGTCCTTAAAATTAGTGATCTTATATTTTGAGGGCACATTTGGTCCATTTAGGCGTTAGGATTTTTAACTTTGAGAAACCGAAGTATTTTATTTAAATTTAATAAAATAGTGATTATGAAACTAAAATTTAGTATTTGTCAAAGTACCAAAACTTTAATCCTAACGCTCAAATAGACAAAAATACCCAAAGAGTATATTATGATTAATTTTAAAGACCCCCGTAGTATACTTCAAATAATGTGGGACCTAAGACTTCTTAACAGAAAATCAAGGGTACCCAAGAATATATATCAGATAATCTAGAACCTACGAATCATTATTAGAAAATTGAAGGTATACCGGAATAAAATTCTTCCTATTTTTTCATCACCAAACCACATATGCGAAGTAATTCATCTAATCCATCAACTTTAGCAACTTGAACCATTTGGACCCTTTCACATTTCCAATCTTACTCATGAAGCAAAATACTCGGGTGTTCTTGTTTCCTTTTTTTGAAAAGTTGCTGTGAAAGCAGCAAAATCTTTCTGAAACCGCTTCCTTATTGGTCAACTGGGAGAATTAAAATACGGTAGAAAATATTTATATATATAAAAAAGGGAAACCGAAGAGAGAGGCAACTGGCAGTGAGGAAGAACAAGAGGTCAAGGATCTGCATCAAGACATCATTAACAGAAACCCCAGAATTTAGCGCTGTCAATCTGTCTATCTCCATCACCACTCCCTGAAACCTGGGAACAATGATGTCTTTCTGGGCTGTGACTTTCCATTGCTGGGTTTTCTGTTCTTGAGACAATGCTGGTCACCTCTCTCTCTCTCTCTCTCTCTCTCTCTCTCTCTCTCTCTCTCTCTCTCTCTCTCTCTCTCTCTCTCTCTCTCCAGATCAAACAAGCAAAACCCATAGTTATAACTGTTGGCATTCATGTGTTTAACCTTTCTTTTCATTCTGTAACGCCTCTTCTTGAAGAATCTTTAGTGTAACTTTATCATTTGTATGATTATACATTAGGGATCCAGATTATAATTGAATTTTCTTGAATTTGGAAATATGGGTTATTGGAATCTTGATATGTTTAATTCTGGGCAAGCAAGATTTTCTGGTGTTGAAATCAGAAATCACAAATCCATGGTTTTGCTGGTTTAGAACAATGGAACCAACAAAGATATGGAGTCCACTACTTTATCTGCAAGTTGGTCAAATCTTTTTGTTTAGTTCACATGATATATATGCTAAAGCAAAGCTAAGCTAGCTGTCATTTTCCAGTGATCCTTATGCTGTCACTCACAGATTTCCCCTTTCTCTCATTGTTTTTTGACCACAGATTACAGTTATAATTGGAGCAGTGCTGAGAATTGATTCTCAAAAATCATGACTTTCAGCAATTCCAAGCCTGTAAGGTTGGTTAACTACCTCTGTAATCATGAGGGGTTCCTTTTCTGTTTGGTTATTTCNTTGGTCAAATCTTTTTGTTTAGTTCACATGATATATATGCTAAAGCAAAGCTAAGCTAGCTGTCATTTTCCAGTGATCCTTATGCTGTCACTCACAGATTTCCCCTTTCTCTCATTGTTTTTTGACCACAGATTACAGTTATAATTGGAGCAGTGCTGAGAATTGATTCTCAAAAATCATGACTTTCAGCAATTCCAAGCCTGTAAGGTTGGTTAACTACCTCTGTAATCATGAGGGGTTCCTTTTCTGTTTGGTTATTTCTTTAATAAAATCATGATTATTACTTCCAGATCCCAAGATGATCTTGAATCAGCCAAGTATGGAGATGCAATGGCTAAGGTGAAGTACAAAATTGAGGGGTCCCGATTTGAGCCAAAGAGCGGGAAGTCATCGATAAAGGCTAAAGTACTATCCCGGGTTTTCTCAGAAGACTATGAAAGAGTGAAAAGGAAGATATTAGATCCCCGTGGACCGACAATCCGTATATGGAATAAGATCTTCTTAGTGGCTTGTTTGTTGTCTTTGTTTGTAGATCCTCTCTTCTTTTACCTTCCTGTTGTTGGGGAAAACTTCTGCATAGATATAGAAATCAAGCTTGAAGTTGCACTTACCATTATAAGATCAATTGCTGATATCTTTTACATCATTCAAATTTATGTTCGGTTTCGGACTGCATTTATCGCTCCATCTTCTCGAGTATTTGGGAGAGGAGAGCTTGTTATTGATTCCTCAAAGATAGCTTTAAGATATTTGCGCAGCGGTTTTTGGATTGATGCCATTGCTGCATTGCCTCTTCCTCAGGCTAGTTGTTGTCACTTGTCACCGCATTTTTTTCTGCATTTTTGGCGAATGCGAGAAAAAAAGTGACAATTTTTTTGTTTGTTTGGATGGAATTGCAGGTTTTGATATGGGTCATTATTCCGACGCTGAGGGGGTCAATGATGGCAAACACCAAAAATGTACTTAGGTCATTCATCATCTTTCAGTACCTCCCCAGACTTTATCTCATATTTCCATTGTCGTCCCAAATCGTGAAGGCTACTGGTGTTGTGACTGAAACGGCGTGGGCTGGTGCTGCTTACAACTTGATGCTTTATATGCTGGCTAGCCATGTAAGTCCCCCAACCCCCCAAGAAAACCCATTATTGAATATAATTTTGTGATACATTTGCATTTATTTATTTACAAAATATGTACATAGATATTAGGAGCTTTCTGGTATCTGTTATCGATCGAGAGACAGGAAGGGTGCTGGCACAATGTCTGCATTCTTGAGACCCCATCGTGCCAATATGATTATTTTGACTGCAACAAGGTGAAGGACCTGAGAAGAAATTCCTGGTTCGTGACAAGCAACATAACGCAACAATGCAGCGGCAGCCAGAGTGATAACACTGGCTACCCGTTTGGTATTTACGGAGATGCCCTCACTGACTCCGTCACGTCGGCAAAGTTTTTCAACAAGTACTTCTATTGTCTCTGGTGGGGCTTGAAAAACTTAAGGTAAGAGAACTATTTTTCCTCAGATCCTCTGTGCTCAAACCATAATGCTTGATTATGATGTTTTTTTTGCTGCACATCTGCAGTTCATTGGGGCAAAATCTTGCCACAAGCACTAGTGTTGGAGAAATACTCTTTGCCATCATAATTGCAACCTTGGGTCTTGTTCTATTTGGCTTGCTCATTGGAAATATGCAAGTATGTTGACACCATTTTTTACACCCTCTGTCCCAATGTTTTTGTCCAGTTTTCCTTTTTGGATTGTCCCGTTGTATTTGTCTACCGTCACTTTGACAAGTTTTCCCTTACGTTATTCAATCTCATAAAAAAAAAGTGCGGGCAACTTTTGTAATTTACACCCAAACTGGACAAACCCATCGGGACAGATTCAACCAAATTGCATCTCATTTCCATTGTGTACATAAGTCCATTACATTAACTCATCATATGTGTATTTTCTGCTGGGCAGACTTATCTTCAATCAACCACAGTTCGGTTAGAAGAATGGAGAACGAGGAGAACAGACACCGAACGATGGATGCATCACAGGCAGTTGCCGCTAGAGTTGAGGCAATCTGTAAGAAAGTATGATCAGTATAAATGGCTTGCCACTAGAGGAGTCGACGAAGATTCTTTGTTGAAAGGTCTTCCTCTTGATCTTCGGCGCGATATTAAGCGCCACTTGTGTTACGACCTCGTTCGCCGGGTAAGCTTTTGAACCAACATATATAAACCATTGCTCTCATCAGACATGTCTGACCGATTCTGTCAGACATCAATGATCTGAGCCTCTGGAAGAGCTGACTGTGTCGACCAGATCAGAATCCAGCGGCTCAGATCATTCGTGTGTGGCATTTTAAAGTCTATACCACTGGTGCGTGTATACGTAGGTGCCCTTATTTGATGAGATGGATGGAAGGATGATGGACGCGATATGCGAGAGGCTGAACCCCGTGCTATGCACCCAAGACACGTGCCTGATGCGTGAGGGCGATCCCGTCAACGAGATGCTATTTATAATCCGAGGGAACCTCGACTCCTACACCACCAACGGCGGCCGCACGGGTTTCTTCAACTCGTGCGGCATCGGCCCCGGGGACTTCTGCGGGGAGGAGCTGCTGACGTGGGCCCTGGACCCACGTCCCAGCGTCATCCTCCCGTCCTCCACCCGCACCGTGAGAGCGGTATCGGAGGTGGAGGCGTTTGCGCTGGCGGCGGACGACTTGAAGTTCGTGGCGGGGCAGTTCCGGAGGCTCCACAGCAAGCAGCTGAGGCACAAGTTCAGGTTTTACTCCCACCAGTGGAGAATGTGGGCGGCGACATTCATTCAGGCGGCTTGGCGGAGACATAAGAAGCGGAAGATGGCGGCCGAGATCAGAGCATTTCTGCAGGAGGAGGAGGAGGAGGATGGTGGTGGAGAAAAGGTGGAAGAGGAGGAGGAGGAGAATGGTCGGAATCCGGGGTTAGGGGTGGCTGTTCATGCGGCTAGATTGGCGGCGGCGGCGGCGGCAAGCAGAAGGGCTCCACACAGGCATAAAGATTCAGGTTTGGCTAGGACAGTAACCTCACTGCAGAAGCCTGCTGAACCCGATTTCTCTGTAGATTTTGTTTGATAAAAGTAAATAGAGTATATAAAAGAAATGGGAAATATCACATTTGCGTTGCATTTTCCTTCCGTTTGGAGTACACTACGTTTGTTTCAGAAAAATTGCTGAAGAAAGAAAGGTTCTAAGCTAGTTAGTTCAATTTTTTTTTTTTGAAAGGAACTAATCCATTAAATTTAAGAAGAGGTATAATAAAATTGAGAGGTGGACCAACCCATTTCATAACGCTCTCTATAGAATGAGTAGCTCATGCCAAAGTGCGTGTTGCGGAGCGATAAACAAAATGAAAACTATTGTCTCGTGCACAAAGGACCCGAAGCACTTGCAATCATCAAGATGCGAGTCAAAATAAGAGTAGTGGCAAACTACAATGACCTCCTTGCAATCAGACTTCACCATTACTTGGCTCTATCCTTGGACTTTAATCCAGCTCAATGCATCTTTAACTACAATGGCTTCCGTTTCCCTTGGGCCAAAACTTCCCATACATTTGATATTTTCTGTTGCTACAAATATGCCTTCATGATCCCGAGCAATGAAGCGTAAACAGACACGACCTTTCACTAGCCCAATCGAAGCATTTACGCTGACCTTAAGAAAGTTGGCATGAGGTTTCTCCCACCTCTTTTATGTCGTAGCCACATAGCATGGAAACATGCCCGTCCACCAATCCTCAAAAGTTCTTTGAGCGCGCGCCCATACTACAAAGGGGGAGACTGCATGCTTCACCTCTTCATACTCTCGTATTACGAGCCGACCATTTCATCCAAAGAATACAAAAGACTAAAGTTTGATCCCGAGCTTTAAAGAGATTGAGCATCACTATCATTCATTCTGGAAAGTTTAAACTCTAGGGAAATACCAACCCAATACTGATGCTCCCCAGACACACGTCGCACATGGTTACACGTTACAAAGACATGTAGTACGTCTCTTTAGCAACATATTGACAGTCACTCTCCTTTTCATATGGTTGTTTAAGCAGAGAAATATATCTCCTCCGTCCGTGAATATTTGTCCGCTTTTGACTTTTTTTGTCAAAATTGGTAAACTTTGACCTCAAATTAAATAAAAATGTCATTGGATATTGATACAAAGATAGTTTTTTTAGATTTAATATATAAAATATTTTCAAAATATTATTTAATATAATTAATATACAATATATATTTTATTTAATTGTAGGTAAAACGTAAAAAATGATTGACTAAAAAAGTCAAAATTGAACAAATACTCAGGACCAGTAGTATCATTTAACACTCAAGATCATATTGGGCACCTTCGGTAAGGTTTTAAAAATTGCCAAAAATTGACTTTTTTGGTCAAACTGTGGCACCCTTTTACTATAATTTAAATATAGTTTAAAATAATTAAATATTATAAAAATTTGATACTTCAAAATTATATTTTAAAATAACCCTAATTTTACTAAATTTACATTATAATTAATTTTTTTTCCATAATTCGTGATCAAATGGTGACACAATTTGACCAAAAAAGTCAAACTGTTTTAATTTTTTGGGAATGGATCAAATTTTTTATTATAAGAAAGTTTTGGTCAGAGAATTCTTTAAAGAAAAAAAGGATTCCCTTGCTAGACAGGCCATTCCTAGAGTCCTAGTGAATTTGTCCGCCCAATTCCCAGGCTTTTAGTTTGGGTTCATCCTCTGAAAATGTGTACGAGTAAAATTAAAGGCAATTTTAAAGAGCTCTCAGACAGACGTGATGGGCCCCGTCTCGCCAACGACGGCAACTTTGTCGCTCTCCCTGCTTTTCAGCCGTCTATTGTGTGAGTAAATAGAGTACTCCTCTCATTTTTATTTAATTGTACAATTTACTTTTTCATATTTGATCAAATAATTGTACAATACTTTTTGATACCAATAATATTTGATCAATACTTTTTGATACCAATATTTTATACCAAATCATTGTAATTTGGTCTAAAATATAATTTTTATATTTTAAATCATTGTATATTTTAAATCATGTGTTTGATATGTAAAGCCAAAGAAACACTTAAATAGGATTGGAGAATGGATCTTGTTAGCGGGTATTTGTAATTGGGTCGTAAATATTGTGTTATCGGGCATGTACATTTAAGCCCATCATGTACTTGTATATATATCGTATCGTGAGTAATGAAACGTAGAACAGTTTCCGCTAAATTTCTACATGGTATCGGAGCTAAAACCCTAGGCTTTCACGCGTCTCTGCTCTCCGGCGTACGTTCGGCCTAATCCACATTGCATACCAATGATACCATATATAATCCAGAGTCAACGAGCAAGAAAATGGGATTAATATTTGCCTTGCTTTTAAATAAAGTATTTATGCACAATTCATGCACAAAGCACAATGGCATGCACCCCATGGCAAACACACTACCAAAGTGCTTTGATCGCTAGTTAAATAGAATCTAACACACGTTAAATGATATCAATGCATCACACATGTTGGAAGAATCAAGATCAGAGGAACACGACGAACACTATATGACAATTTTTTGCATCAATCATGTTTCACATAACTGTTTGCATCAATCATGTTTCACATTGTTAATAGCTTAATCTTTTGTAACAAGTATCCCCTCATCTCTCATTATAAACTATCAAAATTTGAATTCGTGATCTATTGATATATAAAGGTTGTCGCATGTAGTGCTCTATTAACCATCTTTATCCCATTTAACAATAATATTATCACCATTAGTTATTTTGTCATTATTTGTGTTAATACGAATGACAAGGTTTTTGACCAAGGAACCCAAAGTCATATCATGAGCGGAGTACCTACGACCATTGATAAGACTGATAGTTTCCTATTAGCGTTCCTAACCCTCCTAAACCTCCGTTGCCCTTTGCACCCCTCCCGAGCCCCCTTCCCCTTATTTTATAATTAAATCAAATATATATGGTCATGTTCTTTTGGGTTGGAATTTCAATGTTGGATGTTGAAGAAACTGAAACGATTGGAAAATGTTGAAAGAATTTAAGTGTTAAAAAGTCATTCAATTAAATGATCATTCAAATAGATATGTAAAAAATTATGATTTTGGTTAAAAAAAGAATGCATCATTGTAAATTATGATTTTGGTTCAAATGAATTTGGATGTATAATGTTATTGTATATTCATTATATATAAATATATTTTTTAAGTTGTTGTTGGAACAATATGAAAGAAGTTGAAAAAAGTTGGGGGTTAATTTTTCCAACCTAAAATAACAGGGTCATATGATATTGACTCTAGTCAAATGACAAGTTTTGGTGAGACAATAATCAACTGTAAAGTTCATCATAATTTTTTCAAACTTTGATTTAAAAAAAAAAATAAAGGAGGAGGTGCTGACTCGGCTTTGACCCATGTTGACCTCCAATGACTGGACTTTGATAACTGACCGCAGCCAGGTGCGGTCTCCGGCCGCCGCCTCCTGCTGCCGTGGATAGGTGGTTGACTAGTGGTCTTTTTTTTTAAAAAAAAGTTGTGAGTATTTGTGAGCTTTGTATGAGCTTTGTATTTATATTTAGTGAGTTTTGCATCATCTCACTCTAGCGTTTCATCTCATCAAAATTTGTCACCTGACCGGAGTCGATCTGCACACACACACACACATATAAACACACACACACACATATGTGTGTGTAACAATTAGATAAAATAGTATTTTAAAAATATTTTAAAAAATAAATCTAATAGATTTTTTATAATATCAATTTTATTGAATTTATGGTCAAATTTTACCAACTTTAATTTGAAAAAATTAAAAATAAATAAATACTCTGAGACGGAGAGAGTAATTATATCGAATAATTTAAAATTGGTTAAAGGGCAAAATCGGCATTTGGTGCCATTGGTGGTATGGCATTGCCTGACAAGCTTCCTTCCTAGAGGCTGCTTTCACGCAGTGTAAAAGTTAAAACTCCGTCCCCACCCAATAAACCGCCGGGCTTGAAAGACCCCGACTCCATACCCACAACCACAAGCTTTCTTCTTCTTCTTCTCCTTCTTCATAATACCCTATATAACTAACTATATATAGTGAGAGAAAAGACCATCTTCGACTTTCAGGCCATTGATGACGCCGAATCTCTAAATATCTCCCAAATCCTTTGCTTCCACCAGTTTAGCTTCTTCTCAAACCGAAACATCCAAAATTTTCCGGCGAGCGTTCGCGGCGGATATGGAAATCAGTGCTCCACAAAGCGATTGCAGTAGAATGGACGGGTGGCTCTATCTGGTGCGCTCCAATTCGATCGGGCTTCAGTACTCCCGCAAAAGATACTTCGTTCTTCAAGATCACTTGCTCAACAGTTACAAATCCATACCCGACTCCAAAAACGAGGTCCCCATTTTCATTCAATTTTCTTCAGTGACCCGATATTGATCCGGCCTAGGGCTTAGTTTAGCTGCGCGTAGTTCGTTTTGTTTTCGTTCCCTAATTTGTGCAGAGATTTGCTCATTTTTACTTCTTTTTTTGGTTTTTGTTTTTTTGCTTTTTTTTTGAAACATTGACGTGATTGTTTGAGCTTTTGATTGTGTGGTCCCTGGTTCCGATATTTTTACCTGATTTGAGTTTTGGAGAAAAGAGCATGATTACTTTTGATTAGTTCAATTACGAGACACTTTTTCATGATTTCTAATGAGATTATAAAGACATTAAAAGTTCTGTATTGAAGCTAATTCCACAACCATACTCATGTTACCTATTGTTTTGTAGATCTTTTAAAATATACTCGTATAAATTTTTATTTTACACCAATGTTTGAATTAAATGAATTGAAAATAACATCTCAAACATTGTAAACCGTGCATCAAGAATTCAATGGGATGGTGGGATTATTTGTTAAAGCTTGAGTGTTGTGCTTTGGCAGTCTTCATGTAATCTTAGATTATTTGTTTCCAATAAAACATAACAAGTGTGAGCTCAAAGTGAAACTTTGACATTTTATCAGGATCCTGTCAGAAGTGCAGTTATTGATTCCTGCATTCGGGTGACGGACAACGGGAGAGAAAATATAAAAAGAAGGGTATGATCCTCACTCGGATTGCAATGTTGGCTTGCCTGTGTATTTTTCCCCTATCATTAGGTTGAGCCTTTGATATCCACCCTTCTTGGGAATATTTAATGGTTTGTTTGTGTGCTTTTGCAGGACATTTTTGTTTTCTCTCTTTATAATACTTCAAATCATAATGATCAGCTCAAGGTGAGTAATCTTTTTCTTTTTGGGAACATCAATTCAACACCATGGGCTTATTTATATTGGATGTGGTATTGATGTGGAAATATGTATTCTTAGTTGG